AATATGTAAGCTAAATATACATGTTTATAATAATTTGAAATATTTCCCTTCAACTAAATGAATACCTATTTCTGACAATTATTAGACGACCTGTTATGTTCGGTTTGACTAATGTTGGAATTTTGCGTACTGAGCCTTGTGTCACTAAATACTGTTTGTATTATCACGTTTGTACGTATCTTTGAAAGGATGTCAATTTTCTATGAACATAATGCATTATTTCCTTAAAAGAATAGTGTTTCTTTATAAAAGACATGTATAAGATAAGACGTCTTCAATCAACCTTCAAAACTCATTGCTGTCTGCAGATAATATTGCAACGTATATATTTACACACATCTGTGTTTATGCGATAAACCCCAACGAAATCAGTGGTCGCTGCACGCCGTTGTTCGATGATGCAGAAATGTGTGCTATTCAGAGCTAAAAACACATAATTTGACAACACACTAATCTTCTTGTAACTTTCATAATATTAATCGGACAAAAGTACTACTTTAGAGCAATTAATATCTATCCTAAATATACATTTTTATAATAATTTTATATATTTCCCTTCAACTTTATGAACCACAACTTCTAACAGTTTTTGTACTACCTGTAATGTACGGATGATCTAATGTTTTGATTTTTGCGATCTGATCTGTGTGCCACTAAATACTGTTTGTATTTTAAAGTTAAAATGTAATTTTAAAAGGATAACAATATTCGAGGTACATCATGTTTTATTACCTCAAAAGAATTGTGTTTTTCATATGAAACATGTATATGGTAAGACATCTTCAAACTACCATCAAACCTCAAGTCTGTCTGTTTATAACAACGCATCTTATATATTCACACATATCATTGCTGCTGCGACAATACCCGACATAATATGTGGTCCCTGCACGCCGATGTTCGTTGATACAGAAATGTGTGCAATTCAGAGCTAAATACGCGTAATATGACTACACATTAATTCTGCTTGTAGCTTGAATAATATTAACTGCTGAGTCTCCCCGTGTCTGTAGTTGGTATTAAATAAAGCAACGAACGTGTTTTTCCTCAGGGTGACAGCGGCGGGCCTCTGCAGTGTGGCGGTCTTCTTACCGGGATAGTATCCTGGGGGGAGGAGTGCGCCTTGCCTGACTACCCCGGAGTGTACGCAGATGTTGCGTTCTACAAGGACTGGATTGCAAGGCAGCTGGATAGAAGCAGAGTAGCTGATCAAGAATCCACGGTCTTTGTTGGAACCAGCTCAGACATTCACATCCAAACCAATGAGAATCAGTTTCCTACCTCCTACGGTTAGGTCTACTAGGATGTCTCTTTCCGTCAGGATTTTCGACTAAAAAATTTTTTCTTGTGCCAGATTAGCGAATACGTCTTGATTTTGAGCTCCTAGCGTCTGATGACAAATGATAATTTCTAGTTCACCGGACGACATTAGTGTCAGGAACTTAAATCAGTCCCTGCAGTGAAGTTTGGACTCAATGGGACTGAATAAATTCGTAACGAAGTAAAGTTCAGTAATTTCACAGCTACAAATTTGGTCATTCAACATCATTGACTTACTTCGTTAGAGCCTAACACGCCTGGTAAGAACGATAAAACTTGTGTAATAATTTAATTATGGTAATCATACAGATTGGTTGAAACTCATTATAATTATTAGGTCGGCGTAATTATATCCATTAAAATGAAGCTGTACCACTATATGCCGTGCAGGCGTTTGTGAGCTGAAAAACTATAATATAACAACTCACTAATCTGCTTTTAACTTACATAATATTAATCGGACAAAAGTGCTACTTTAAAGCAATATATATCTATCCTAAATATACATGTTTATAATAATTAGATACAGTTCCCTACAACTTCAAAAACCACAACTTCTAAAAGTTTTTGTACTACTTGTAATGTACGGATCGTATTGTGTTTTAATTTTTGCATTCTGATATTTGTGCCACTAAATTCTTTTTGTATTTTAACGTTTATATGTATTTTTAAAATGATAACATTGTTCGAGGTACATCATGCTTCATTACCTCAAAAGAATAAAGTTTTTAAAATCAAATATGTTTATGATTAGACGACTACAAACAACCATCAATAAACAAATTTGTCTGAAAACTTCATTTCATCGTTTATAATCACACATATCTTTGTAACTGAGATATTCTTCAAAATACAATGTTTTGCTGTGCGCCGATGTTCGTTAATACAGAATAGTGAGCTACTTAGAGTTTAAATCGAATAATATGTTAACACAACATTATACCTGTAACTAAAACAATATTAAACGTATAATAATGCTACTTTAAATGAATGTATATCTAACTATAATGTATATGTTTATAGAATTTAGAAACATATCCCGTTATCATTATGAAACTCCATTTCTGAAAGTTTTTGGACGACCTGAAATATGCGGGTGTATTAATGTTTTGAATTGTGCTATGAGAGCTGAAGCCACAAAAAACTGTTTGTATTTTTATGTTTGTATGTAATTTTGAAGGATAACTTTGTTCGAGGTACATCATGATTATTATCCTCAAATGAATAGTATTTGTAATATAAAACATGTATATGATAAGACTTCTTCAGACAACCATCAAAACTACAGTCTGTCTGTAGATAATATTGCATCGTATATAATCACACATATCTTTGTAACTGAGATATTATTTAAAATACTATGTGGTTGCTGTGCGCCGATGTTCGATGATACAAAATAGTCAGCTATTCAAAGTTTAAAACGCATAATATGTTAACACCACATTCTGCCTGTAACTTAAACAATATTAATCAGACCAAAGTGCTACTTTAAAACAATGATATTAAACCCTAATGTATATGTTTATAATAATTCGAAACTATTCCCTACAACTTGATAAATCACCATTTATGACAATTATCGGAAGACCTGTTATGTACGGTTTGACTAATGATAGAATTTGCGTAGTGAGCCGTAAGTCACTAAATACTGTTTGTAATTTGACGTTTGTACTTATCTTTGCAAGGATGACGTAGTTCGATGAACATAATGCATTATTTCCTTAAAAGAGTAGTGTTTCTTTTAAATAAGACATGTATATGACAAGTCGTCTTCAAACGACCTTCAAAACTCATTGCTGTCTATAGATAACATTGCAACGTATATATTCACACACATCTGTGTTTCTGTGATAATCCCCGATTTACTCTGTGGACGCTGCACGCCAATGTTCGTTGATGCAGAATTGTGTTCTATTCCGAGTTGAAAAAGCATAATATGAAAACACACTAATCAGCTTGTAACTTACATAATATTAATCGGACAAAAGTGCTACTTTAGAACAATTAATATCTATCCTAAAAATACATTTTATAATAATTTGAAATATTTCACTTCAAGTTTATTTACCACAACTTCTAACAGTTTTTGTGTTAACTGTAATGTACGGATGGTCTAATGTTTTGATTTTTGCGTTCTGATATTTGTGCCACTAAATTCTGTTTGTATTTTAACGTTTATATGTTATTTTAAAAGGATAACAATGTTCGAGGTATGTCAAGCTTTATTACCTCAAAAGAGTTGAGATTTTAATATAAAATATGCATATGATAAGACGTTATCAAAAAACCATCAAAACTCAAATTTGTCAGTAGATTTCATTGCATCGTATATAATCACACATATCTTTGTAACTGAAATATTCTCAAACGTTACATGTGGTCGCTGTTCGGCGATGTT